TGGATCCTTCTCCTGAATCAAATTAACAATGGGTTTTATATATCTCTCACAAATCATATTACATATATCTAGGGCATTCACACATGCACATTGAATTATTTTGAAATTAAAAAAAAAAAATTACTTGATGTTTACCATCATTTTCACAAATTGTTTTTGCCTCTCTGCTTTACTTGTAGGTGAAAGCTTAACATATATTAGATCAATATACTGATCATCAGTAGTTTATTAGCAGTATCAAATGGCTTGTATTCCAATTTCCAACAAGCATGCCAAAAACAATTTCCTTTGATTTCCAAGCATTCAAGCTCACCTGCTGCATGGTCAACTTGCATATTCTTTCTTCCTCATGGTTATCTACCTATCTTCACCCAATGCATCTCTTTCAATTGACTCTAAACACATAGATATAATAATGAATATTAGAAAAATGTTAAGAATAAAAACATGTATAGAACATCTGTTGCTGGATTATGTTGTGTTTGAGTTCAAAGTAATGTGCAAAATTTTAAGCTTTAAAAAGAAATAAACCTTAAAAATATGCACAATCAACCTTTGATAACAAAGTAAAAATTCAAGAAATAAACATATATTATAACATCATCAAAGCTGAATAAAAACAAGAAACAGACTAATTAATCTTAGTGTATGACTATATCAAAGTTGTCCTCATCCTCATACACAAAGTTTTTAGTCCATGGGCATCCCCATACAATGAATTTTTTTTTTAAGGTGCTTGGGTCCATGCAGCCGCCACTTGCAGACATTAATGAGTCTTTCATCAACCACATATATCGTTTCCAAATTTGGGGGCAAACGTCCTCCTGGAAAGGACACAAGACGAGGACAAACGAAAAGACTTAAAGTGTGAAGCGATCTAAACTCATATAAATAATGGGGAAGAGACTTCAAACTGTAACATGAAAAAATTAAAAGCGATTTCAGGCTGGTACTGGGCGACCCTTCTTCTAGGAAACACACAAGACTGAAGCAATTACTTAATGACAGTAGCTCAAGATTCTTGAGGTTGAACAAGCCCTCAGGCAAGAGCTTAAGATGTGGACAATCCCAAATCTCTAACTCTCTAAAATCTAGGGTACTAAATAAGGCCAAATTCAGTAAATGTGAATCATCTTCAAAACCAAAAATGACATAATGATCTTTTTCTATCTTCAAGATTCACTGAATAATGTTAAATTGACAAAATTTTCTATCTTTAGGTGTCTGATAGTGGCAGGTAACTTGTCCATTGGAAAGGAAAAGAGTGAAGAACAACCTTCTATCAACAAGGATTCAATGGACAAACTCTTTTGTTCCATCAATACCTTGAGTACTAATTCTGAATTTGGGCAATTCAAGATCGTCAATTTTTTAAGAGAGAGAGGAAAATAGTCTTGGTTTGAGCAAGAGAGAAAGAAACAACTATTGAACTCCAAAGACTCAAGAGAGGTGAGTTCCATCAGGTGAAGATGGAGAACAAGGCCGGGACATTTACTGATCTTAAGTTGTTTAAGAGCAGTGCCAAATGGCTTGTATTCCAGCAAGTATGCCAAAGAGGAATTGCTATTGATTTCCAAGAATTGAAGACTCTCACATGGTGGGAGATGTATATCAAAATCCAGTGGCCAGATACCATGGGTCAATAAGCAACGCACACATTTTCCCTTTTCCAAGATCGTGGAGTATTCCAGAGTTTTCCACTCTGCATGACAAAAAAGAAAAAAAAAAATCAGAGCTGGAAATATATTACTCCTATATTAAAGAATGCAGAACTAAGTTTGATTCCTAGCTATTAGGCGAGGTGTCTTGTAGACTTGTCTACAGTCTTATTCAACCTCAATGAAGAATGAATTATGTAAACACATGGGAGAAATATGAATTTGAAGAAAAAAAATAAGATGGGCACAAAACATTGGACAATACCAGAATTCTTGTGAAGTCTTTAGTGAAATTTGCCTTCAATTGGTGCACATTTGCTCTTGGCTTCAGTCGTTGAAGGCATCTAATCCATTTCCATGAACACCCAAAGAGTTATGATTCAGTATGGCTATACAGAAGTACAAAGATATAACCAATCTACCAAAGAATAATAGAAAAGAAAGCCAAAGAATGACTATTACCTAAGTCTAAATCCACAAGCCAGTGACCACCACTGTATGGACTTCTTGGGAATCATTCTATTACCCCGGCCCCTTAGTTTGGTGTAAAGTGAGGTGAGACTATGCTAACTTTTTTCTTCTTCTTCTTCTTCTTCTTCTTCTTTTAAAATAAGAATATGTGATTAAGAGCCTCAAAATAAACATATAAAAATAATCGCTTAACCTAAAACCTCTCAATTTCAGGAATCGTAAAGTTTCTCATTCTCACTTTCTCAGTTTCATCCGCAACAAGAAGTAATAAAAAGATTATAAGAAAAGCTACGACAACCCCAAATGCACCCTAGCTAATAAATAATCTTTTATGTAAAGTCTAAAATACCCTTAACAAAAAGGAATTCTAAAAATCAAAGAATTGATATAGTCTCAAAATTAAAATGAAACCGGAAAACACTTCATCTACACCTACATATATCCAACGGCCACCAACAATCTTCATTACCAATTCTTGTCAGTGTGCTGTTTAATTTGTTGGTGGTGTTGGCTAATTTTACGGTGGTGGTGATGATTGCTATCATGGTGATCAAATTTCTATTGTTTTTCAGGAGCTACTGTAACAAGGGTGGACGGGAGAATTTTTTTTAACAAATTTGGGTGCTGATGGTGGTGGTGGGCAATGGCGGCTAATGTTTTGGTGATGCCATTAGGAAGATGGTGTAACGAGATGCACTAGTGGTAGGACGAGTGTTGAGATATATAGTTAAGATGCACAATCTCAGGTTCGAATCCTTTAAGCTCCCAAGATTTAAATGAGAGGCCGTGGTGGTGGGTTGTTGCGTTAGTTTTCACCGAGGATTAGTTGATGTACACGTAAGTTAGTCTGGACACCTTGATTAAAAAAAAGAAGTGTGACGGTTACGGTGCTACGTTTGTTTCTAGGTTAAGTTGAAGGTGAAGAACCTCGGGCTTGGGGGTAATGGGCCGGAGACCATCTGGTATCTCCATATGGACCAAATTTTGGCCCAAAGGCCTCAACCCAATAATTCTTTAATATACAATCATCCAACAGGACCAACACCGCGGTTTCAATCTCAGAAGGCATTGGTTCTGTACTTCTGTAAACTATTTTTTCCTAATTACTAAACTGAAATCGGAGTCTCTGTTGTGTCTTCTCCCGCTGGCGCCACTGGCACTTTGTAGACTGTACTAGTGTCTTGGCTGCCGACAGCGAGGCGCCCATGGAATTGACAACTTGCGGTTGTCGGTCACCGTCGAAGAAGAGAAGCGCGAAACCTCCTACGACTATCGAGTCCCTCGATCGCGACATCCTTTGTACAGTCTTCTCATCTCTCGGACTCTTCGACCTTGTTCGATGCTCTCTCGTTTGCAAGTCTTGGTGAAATATCTTCATAACTGGATAATAAACTATTTATTAAAATTAATCACGTTGACTATAGCAAAAGTATAATTGACTTTGATATTATTTTCTTTTGATGAAGGAATGCGATAATTAGTAGATGTAAGTTACTGCAAGCGCTGTATTACAAGCTGCAGAATGATTCACGTGGCTTTTCCAATACTTCGAGTTCTTCAATGAGGATGTATCTAGCGGAGCTTGCTATGAACCATAATAGGTTGTCTTTGGTCAAAGGGCGCATTGACATCAATCAATGGAATGGCCATTCATCCCCGTAATAACCTATCACACTTGTTTTATTTTGATTTGCATGGAATTTTAATTCGATTGTACTTTTAGACTTTGAAAACATTTTAAACAGCTAAAATGTCACTCAAAGTTGCAGTTAGTTACAAGTCAATTTGCTGAAAGTCTAGAACTAATACCGAATTGGTGCTTACTTATAAGTGGCCTTTATATTTTTTTTTTAAATGGTTCAAATTTCAATTTTTTATGGAACCAGTTATTATGTCATGCGGATTTGGTTATGACAAGAGGATGAACCGCTTAGCCACCGAACTTGTGTGGATTGGTTTTAGAAGTGGTTTAATAAGGAATCATAATTGAAAAATACAATGAAAGTTTAAAGATGGGTGGGATTGAAAAGAAGGGGGTAGGTTGAGGAGAAGATGAGTAAAGCGTTGAGAGGAGTGTTGGATGAGTTTGCATTATTCTTAGGCCTCCCCTATGGTCTTAGTCATTGCAAAACTCTGTTGCCATGATAGAAAACACAATGAACTATTGCTTTTAACAGATATTGAATCTTATGTCTTATTTTTTGGGTATGCATAGGCATATGGATTGTGTGTATTGTGTTTTGAAAGTGCTTTCTTTTAGGGTTGATCAGTGCCGTATGAAGAGAGGCTTGATTCTTACTGGTGTAGGCGATCAGGTATGATCCCATAAAAACTAACTGCTCAGCTTTCTGTTAATACTTTACTAATGTGTTTTTTACGCAAACACTTAATAGAATTCTTAGTATCTCTGACTTTTTTTTTGGGGTATGTTATAGATGATAAGTCTTATTGATCTTTTCTGTCTGTTCTATCTGTGGGTAATATAATAATCACAAAAAAAGGATTCATGATGTCCTAGAAGGCCTTAATTTGTTTGATAATCTAGAAGGTCTTAATGGGAATGTGAATCCAATAAAATATCTGATGGTTTCCAAAATCAATAAAGTTAATGTGAGACTATAGGTGTATTGGGCGTCTATCAGGCCGTGTCTATGATCAATCATTTTTGGTGTGTATGTCACTCATTTTTAGATGTATCCTTTCAACGTAAATGTTAACTTTGTTTTGTAACAGAATCTGCGTTTGATATGTTGGGTTCCAGGTCAATAAAAGTGATGTACTATGTAGTTTACTTTCATGTGCTTCCCTTGTTAGATGAATTTTGTTCTACAGTTTTATTCTTCTAACAATCTTTGATGGCAATGATCTTAGGTTATGCGTCTCTGGTCATTAGAAAGCTACAAATGTGTGGAAGAGTATTCCATCCCAGGTAGAGTCTCGCTGGTCGACTTTGATTTTGACGAGAGCAAGGTAACTCAGAAAAAAATTCATACCCTTTTTATTGGAAAATGTTTAATGTATGTAAGACTTGACTTGACTCTACTGCTTTCTTTTCCCTTTTTTCAACTCTTTAACATGAAAGGGAAGGCTACCATTATATAAATAGTCAAATTTAATAATTTTAGAAACACCATTATCTGCTGTCAAAATCTGAGAGCCTGAATATTCTATGTTGGTGTTATATGCCATATCATTGCTCTTCTTTTTAGAAGATTAGTAAGGTCATGAATACATGTCCAATTCACTGAATCATAAACACGTGGGATCAAGTGGTGATATTGTCCCTTGTGACCAGAGCCTCTTGTTTCATAGGCAAATTTGTTTTATTTAGATGTAAATGCGATAAATCATTTCAACTTGATTTGTGAATAAGATGGGAATAACCTTGTTTCCAGGTTACTTTAAGTTGAAGGTAAGGAAACGAATACACCTCCATTTTTTCTGTTTTATCGTCCTTTCATGAAAAGGATGCGATTTTCGTATTGTTATACTAAAATGTTGGGTTCCTTAAACATTTTGTGCTCTGGTGAAAATCTCTAATTTTTCATCAAATTATCATTTTCAGATTGTTGGGTTGGTTGGCACTCGTATATGCATATGGAGGCGTAATGGCACAATGAGTGTATTTCCCTCACGTGAAGGAACATTCATGAAGGGTTTATGTATGCGGTATGGAGACATGCCTTCAAATTGTGTTTATTGATTACATTATTAATATGTTTCTATGTTAGTATTGTGATAAGGAGTAACAAAATTGTGTGGCCAAATATGCTATGCATTCTATTGCGTGTACAATATCTGGTGCAAAACTGCAGTTATCGGTGCATGAGTGAAACAGGATTTTTAATGCACGGTGTTTCTACATTGAGCATTATTTTTTCACTCCAAGCATCATAACTCAGTAATATTTTAATATGTAAGTTCTGATTTACGAATCTAACCTGTTTGAATATATTTGTTCTGCCTTGCATTTGAGGGAGAAAACTTTACATTCTAATGGAACCATAAACATTCTAAGATATTATTATCAGACATAAACTGCTATGCTACAATGCACAATCATTTTGATTTGCTTTCTTTATGTCTGAATCAGTGCAGCTGATTTGCTTTTTTCCTATTTTATAGTTACTTTGATCCAGAGGCTGTCATTGGATGTGAAGATGGAACTGCCCGTGTGTTTGACATGTATAGTAGGAAATGTTCTCGTATCATTAGGTATGTACTGTCAGAAATTTGTAAAATTTGTTCCTTGCCAGTATTTTAGAAAATTTTAATTAGTCAAGTTAACTTTCTTTAAATAATTACAGATAATCTGTCTGAACATCTACATTTCTGAACTTCGTCAAAAATGCATATTTACTACTTCTGAGGCTTATAGATTTCTTATGATATTATTTTGGTCTCCAAATTGCAGGATGCATGCTGCACCTGTAACATGCTTGTCTTTGAGTGAGGATCAGTTAATTATTAGTGGATCCTCCAATGGCAGTATCACTATTTCTGGTCTCTCATCTGATCAGCGGGTAGCTAAACTAAGATCAGCTTATTCGACAGGTTGTATATGCCGACTGTGTGAAGAACTTCTTTTGAGCTTATTGATTAGCTGCCTACTTTTTTCATTTTTTGTTCCTTGAGTAAAATTTCTTTACTTAAAATAATGCAATATCATGTTCAATGGTTTTATAGTCTGCAAGTGATTTCTTAGATATTGTTTCATCTTAACCTGACAGGTATAAAGACCTTGTGTTACAATCCACGTTCTCATCAAGTGTTTGCTGGAACTACTGCTGGATACGCTGCTTGCTGGGAGCTTAGGTATGCAAATGATGTTACTTTACAGGCTAGTTGATGGCCAAAATTCTACAACTGGTTTTCAAGTTTAAAACCTTAGACAAATTGACTATCACCAATTTCAAATTTGAGGCTTGCATGCAGATTCCTTCAAAATTAATGAATCAAGAAACGAATTGAAGAAACGTTTACTGTTTGGTTACTATAAATCTGTTGTTGGTGATAGGTAAAGATAAGTTATCTAATCTAAGTTCCTTAGTGTTACTACAAAGCATGACAATTAACAGTTGATTGACCTCTTTGGTACGGGGCTTGTAAGATGCTAGTGTTGAAACTAGCCATACTGAAGAAACAAAATGTATCTGAATTTGTTCATTGTCATGGTTGTGCTGTTTGGCCAACTGCCATTTTGAGCAAGTCTTGGGTGTTGTCTTAATTCTTACCTTTGGAGAGTCACAAGTCTAGGTGTCTTAATTGATTTTGCTCTATTGATCTTGCAGGACAATGAAACCTTTATGGGAGGCTCGAGTAAGTCCAAATGTTATTTACTCTTTGCAACACCTACAACATGATGCATCAACAATAGTAGTTGGTGGAATAGATGGTGTGCTACGTGTGCTGGATCAGAATACCTGAGAGGTTCTTTCAAGCTGTGTCACAGACATTAGCGCAGTATCAAGTTCCTCGGAAAACATGTCTCCGGCAGTTGAAAGAAAGAAAGGAGTAAGACTCTCAGAAGATACCCGTATCGACAGAATTCCCAGAAGCACTCGACCTCCCATCACATGTTTGGCTGTTGGGATGAAAAAAGTTGTCACCACGCACCATAACAAGTACATTAGACTGTGGAAGTTCGACTTGTGAGAGGAAAGTGCTTGACATCTGCCTGAGTCGGACTTCTGATCTTGATATACCTTCAAATGTATCTGTATAAATGGTCACCAAATGCAGTCTTTTCCAGAACCCCTTTTACATCCATTTTCTTATCCTGTGTAACCTAATATTATTGATTATGAAGAATGTTATTGACTGCAGCTGAACCGTTAAATTAAACACAGGCGACCAACAGACTAAAGACATTCATTAGAAAAGTGCTGGTGGCTTTTAGTTTGTTTTAGCTTTGACACAAAGTAGAGATTTCGAGGATGAACATATTTTCTCACTTCCTCTCTGGTCAAGACATTGTCAAGTTCTTGAGACGTTCTTGCCTCGACACCGGCATTTTTCTTGGATCCTTCTCCTAAGTCAAATTAACAATGAGTTTCATTTATCTCGCACAAATCCTATTACATATCTCTAGGGCATTCACACATGTACATTGAATTATTTTGAAATGAAAAAAAAAATACTTGATGTTTACTATCATTTTCACAAATCGTTTTGCCTCTCTGCTTTAATGTAGCTGTTCCTTTTGGTGCTTCTTCTTCTGCTTCCTCCTCTTCTTCAACATTATGTTCATCTTTGAAGTGTTTGTATAACTGGGTACGAGAACCAACAAAATTGTAGTCTGACGTGGGGCATGAGCATGGTGCATATATTTGTCATGGATACATATAAACATATTAAACAGTGGCTAGGATTATTGTGTTAAACATCACCCACAATGTTGCCCAGGTTGTTTTTTGGTTCCATTTTTAGCATCCTTGAGGGCTTTTACTACTTGATTATGATCCTTCCCTTGTTCATTAATCAAGCCTTTCATTAACCTCCTGCATCTCGCACAAGCGGTTTTATGCAGTTTCTGGCAGGTTTATGAAACTTCTTTTTTTTTTCTGAAACTTCAGAATTTTCATCAATACCGTGATCACTAATTCTGTATTTGTACAATTAATAATCTTCAATTTTTTAAGTGTAATAGTCTCGGATTGACCAAGAGAGAAAGAAACAACCATTGAATTCTAAAGATTCAAGAGAAGTGAGTTTCATCAGGTTAAGCTGGAGATCAAAACCTGGATATTTTACCAGTGTTGAGTTTGTCTCCCACGTAAAAGTTTAGCTTGTAGGTGAAAGCTTAACATATTTATACATATACTGATCATCAATTGTTTAAGAGCAGTATCAAATGGTTGTATTCCAATTTCCACAAGTATGCCAAAAAAGAATTTCTTTTGATTTCCAGCATTCAAGCTCACCTGCGCATATTCAACACACATATTCTTTTTCCTAACGGTTATCTTCACCCAATGCATCCCTTTCAATTTACTCTAACACATAGATATAATAATGAATATTAGAAAAATGTTAAAATAAAACATGTATAGAAAGTACTTCAAAACATGAATAGAACACTGTTGCTGGATTATGTTGTGTTTGAGTTCAAAGTAATGTACAAAATTTTAAGCTTAAAAGAAAATTAAACCTTAAAAACATGCAGAATCAACCTTTGATAACAGGTAAAAATTCAAGAAATAAACATATATTATAATATCATCCAAAAGCTTAATAAAAACAAGAAGCAGACTAGTAATCTATGTGATGGCTATATCAAAGTTGTCCTCATCCTCATACACAAAGTTTTTAGTCCGTGGGCATCCCATATAATGATTTTTCTTTTAAGATGCTTGAGTCCATGCAGCCGCCACTTACGACTGAATATGGGATTTGAGTGAAAGATCCTTGAACTTGCGACCCTTTTCTATTATTTGGATAAGACCTTCCTTGTTGACGAAAACCAACCCGCTTTGGGCATCTTCCCCACCCAAGCCAACCCTTTCCTCAGCTGATCAAAGAAACTTTTTTTAGAAAACGGAAGTGAAATTATGAACTGCAAAGTGAATCATCACCAACTATCCTCCAGCAAAATTGAAGAAATAACAGAGAATCCATCTGGACCAGGGCTTTATCAGAGCCTATGGGAGATAGGCTTCCACCACTTCATCTCTAGTCACATCTTTGTCAAGCATAAGTCTTTCACAATCACCACATATATCGTTTCCAAATTTGGGGGCAACATCCTCCTGGAAAGGACACAGACGAGACAAACGAAAAGACTTAAAGTGAAGCGATCTGAACTCATCTAAATAATTGGGAAGAGACTTCAGACTGTAACATGAAAAAATTAAAAGCGATTTCAGGCTGGTACTGGGCAACCCTTCTTCTGGAAACACACAAGACTAAAGCAATTACTCAATGACAGTAGCTCAAGATTCTTGAGGTTGAACAAGCCCTCAGTAAGAGCTTAAATTTGGACAATCCCAAATCTCTAACTCCTAAGATTTAGGGTACAAATAGGCCAAATTCTGTAAATTTGAATCATCTTCAACCACAAATGACAGAATGATCTTTTTCTATCTTCAAAGATTCACTGAATGACGTTAAATTGACACATTTTCTATCTTTAGGTGTTTGATAGTGGCAGTAACTGTCCTTGGAAAGGAAAAGAGTGAAGACAACCTTCTATCAACAAGATTCAATGGACAAACCTTTTTGTTCCATCAATACCTTGAGTACTAATTCTGAATTTGGGCAATTCACGTCTTCAATTTTTTAAGAGTGAGAGGAAAATAGTCTTGGATTGAGCAGAGAGAAAGAAACAACTATTGAACCCAAAGACTCAAGAGAGGTGAGTTCCATCAGTGAAGATGGAGAACAGGGCCGGGACATTTACTGATCTTAAGTTGTTTAAGAGCAGTGCCAAATGGCTTGTATTCCAGTAAGTATGCCAAAGAGGAATTGCTATTGATTTCCAAGAATTCAAGATTCTCACATGTTGGGAGATCTATATCAAAATCTAGTGGCCAGATACCATGGGTCATAACGACGCACAAATTTTCCCTCTTCGAAGATCATAGGGTACAAATTTTTCTTTTCTGCATGACAAAAAAATAAAAAAAAAATTAAACTGCAAATATATTACTTGTATATAAAGAATGCAAAACTAAGTTTATTCTCAATTGGGTGATTTAACAAGTGCCCCAGCTATTAGGCAAGGTGTCTTATAGACTTGTCCAGTCTTATTCAACCTCAGTGAAGAATGAATCATGTACACCATGGAGAAACTGAATTTGAAGAACAGAAATAAGATGGGCACAAAACACTGGACAATACCAGAATTCTTGTGAAAGTCTGCAGTGAAATCTGCCTTCACCTCAATTGGTGCACATTTACTCTTGGCTTCAGTTGTTGAAGCATCTAATCCATTTCCACGAACCCCAAGAGTTATGAATCAGTTTGGCTATCAGAAGTACAAAGACTAACCAATCTACCAACAAATATTCAACATGGGGGCGGGGAGAAGAAAGAGAGAGGAGAGGAGAGAGAGAGAGAAGAGAGAAACAAGAATAATCAAATGGTTTACCCAAAAAAAAAAAAATCTATCTTCAGGTAATATCTTTGCCGGAACACCTTATTTCTCAGGAATACCAAAATACTAATACAAAGAAGGAGTCATGTTTAGCCAGGATTACTATGTGATGCTAGCAGAAGAAATCAAATAATAAAGAAGAAAGCCAAAGAATGCCTTTACCTAAGTCCAAATCCACAAGCCAGTGACCACCACCATATGGACTGGACTGCGTGGGAATCATTTAATTACCCCGGCCCCTTAGGCCATGTGTTGTGCATAGGATTAGATGGATCTGGACTGAAGTATTGGCTGTGGTAAAACTAGATTGGATTAAAATAATCATGTGTTTGGTACAAGACATGTCTAAGAAGCTGGCTGTCCTATTAAAAGACTGTCTAAGAAGTTGGACCAATCACAATGTAGTGCTACCCTTTGTTTGGTGTACAGTCAGGTGGGACTATGCTAACCTTCCCCCCCCCCCTAAAATAAGAATACGTGATTAATCCCCTAAAAAAAAAAAGTTCTGGCAGATTCAAATAAGGTTTGCCTGTTTTGGGACCCCCAAAAACAATCAAACAAAGTTAACTAAATTAGACAATTCAACCAAACAATTTTGTTCATTATATTATAACACCATCCACAAAGTTGAACAAAACAAGAAACAGACTAATTAATCTTAGTGTATGACTATAGCAAAGTTGTCCTCATCCTCATACACAAAGTTTATAGTTCACAAAAACACAATAAAAAAGTTATACCGGTCATCATCATGATCACATATCAAATGATTTGAATAATATACTTACAGCTATGTTTTTAACAATGCCCTCCATAGACATTGTTTTAACTAGGGATACTTTAGGTGGTGTAACTCTTGCTTGACTCCTACTATTTCCCACTTTATCATCACCCCATAAGAGCTTATCTTCAGTATCCATTCCTAGATATGTACATGTAAATTCATCAATAAAACAAGAAAATATATTCATTAATTTGGATAAAATATATATATATATACTTCAATTAATGGTAACAGACAATTGATGCATGAAGATGAACATAACTTAGACATTTAACACAAAATAAAACAAGACAAAAATAATGCAAAACCAAAATGTTTGAAGTAGCAAGAGGAAAATTAATATTAACTTAAAGTGATTAATTTCGATTCACTGAGATTTTGTAAAACAATTTCCAGATATTGAAGTATTGGTATCGAAAGCTGAGAATGACAGCTTTTGTAAAAATTCTTTCTAAAAGTTCATCAATCAAAGATGAATTACTATTTTATAGATGAAACGCTTCAATATTTTGTACAAGGTATTTGATTCCCAACATCAGTAGAAAGAAGCAAAAGAACATAAAGAAGAAAAACAAATAAACAAGGGAAAGAAATTAATTAAGCCTTGAAACATTCAATTTATCTTCTTTTAACATTATCCTGTACCAAGAGCCTCAAAATAAACATATAAAGATAATCGATTAACCCTAAAACTCTCAATTGCCTTCGTATACAACAATGTAACACCGTTTCTACACTAATTCAAAAATAATAATAACAATAATAATAATTCAGTTATGCATCCTCCAATGAAAGTTAGTACCAACAAAAAATTCATAAACTTACGATTATTCAAATCATTTGATTCCAATAATTAAAAGAAAAGATTGAAAACAGTGAATTAAAAAGAAAAGACCTGGTACAAGGAGGAGTCTTGGGGAAAATCGTGATGGTTGCGGCGTGACACGGTTTTTTTTTTTTTTTTTT